GGAGGAGCCACCCTCCGCCACCGCCTCCTCCGCCGCCTTCTTCCACTTCAAAGCGTTTCGCCTCAATTCTACCGCCTTATCTCCCACGGTTGCCTCCAACAAGCACTTCTCAACCTCCGCCCTCATGACCAACCTATTCTCAGCCATGCCCCGACTGAGTCTAAGCCCCACACCAAACACATCCACCAAGAACTTGGCATTGGTGACTTGGTCGCCCCATTGAGGAAAAGTCACAACTGGCACACCAGAAGTGAGGGCTTCAACCGAAGAGTTCCAGCCACAATGTGTCAAAAAACATGAAACGGACGTGTGCCCTAGAACTTGCTCTTGTGGGCTCCATTGGACCAATTTTCCCTTGTCCCCAACCTCTTCCAAAAACCCCTGTGGCAGAACATGTTTCTCTAACCCAAAACCATATACTTTGGCAGGTGGCTTGAGGACCCATAAAAATGAGACCCCGGAGCTCAAAAGTCCATGAGCAATCTCGTCAACTTGCTCTTGTTTTAAGTGGACAATGCTACCAAAAGAAATGTAGACGACGGAGGCTGGGGGCTTTGAGTCAAGCCAGTCAAGGCAGTCGTCGGCTTTCATCAAGTCTCCTCGGATGCTTGTTTCTGGAGCTTTGGGGTTCTTGAACAAAGGGCCAACAGGCTTCACTATGCAGACTTGGGACATGTGTTCGATGATTTCGGGCTCCAGCTCTTGGAATGTGTCCATTAATACATAAAATGATTTTGATAGCTTCTTGAATTGGCCTAAGATTGCCCTTCCCAAAACCTGAAATCAAACATATTATTTATAAGGTTACTATTATTTTTATTTTTATTATATTTTTATCGACGTCTATTAGATTTGAACTCAAAATTCCTTCCGGAAAAGTAAACACTCAATGCCGTGCTCCCAAAGAATCATTAATAAACTCATAACTATAGTTGACTAATAATAAAAAAAAATTAGTCATCCAAATTAATGACAAATTGATATGTCAGCATATCAATATATTACTTGTTAGAAACAAAAAAGTTTCAGATTGGACTGAAACATGAACAAACAAAATATAAAATTATCACATTAGTTGTGATCCAAAATTTCGGAATTTGATTTGGTATGCAGAGAAATAGTTCTACTGACCTGATATGGATTAGAGGGGTGCAAGAAGCTAGGAACCTCATCATGCTTCAAAACAGGCATACCAGGCAGCTGAACATCCATATTTGGCTCGGCTTCCGTAGGAAACGACACCGTCTTGTTGTTGTAGTGGTAATAAGCCGAGAACACAGCACAGGACTGAACCCAGAGCGTGGCCTGAGGGATCCCAAGCTCAACGGCGACATCACAAACCCAAGGAATGAAGGGGTTGTTGACAACGCAAGAAACTGGACGACCTTCAGTGGCATGTCGTTTGATCATCTGAGTGACCAGGTCCTTCCCCACCAGCTCAAGCCTGGGCACATAGTAGTCCAAGTCGGTGCGTTTTGGGTCGTCTTCTGGAAGCCCATCTTGGAAAAACTCAAACCTGATAAAACCAGAGCCAATTGGTGTGGCCTGGTCATTGATATCACTGTTGGCCTTCCTCATCTCTTTGCCATAGTTTTCAGTGGTGGAAAAACTTACCAACATGCCCTTGGCAGCCAAGCGCTTGCCTAGCCTGAGCATGGGGTTTATGTGTCCTTGTGCCGGAAAACACACCAGAAATATATGAGTGGAAGGAGTTTCAGATCCCATAGTTTTTTTGGGTGCAATATTTTCCCACTTTATGTTTTTGCAGGCATATGTATAAATGAAGTGGGTTTATATATAGCAAACGATAGCATTCTTATCGTCAAGTATTTATTACGATTGGTTCTGTTTCGTGGTCCCTCTCCCATCACATGTTAATAAATGAAGATATTCCTATATAAATTAACGTAGTTTGGCTACTGCAATTGGAGGCTGCCACAGCATAGCTACCCAGCCACCATGAGCTTTTGTCTTTCAACTTTGACTAGTGGACCAACTGCCTTTTTTTTTTTTTTTTTTTTTCTAGTGGACCTTCTGCTTTGATTTTCTTTTTTTCGGTCGACCTACTGCTTTGATTAGGTTGTCAAAAAACAAAAACTTTTTGGTACAGTCTGACAATAAGAAAAAGAAATTTCTTGTTTTATTTTTTTTCATACATGATGAGTAATGCTAGAAGTTATAGGCTGGCAGCATGGTGATGCATTTTCCTGCACATGAAAGTTTAGTACAAGGGGCAGAGCCACATTTCGGGGTGAATTTAAACTTGGAACTTCAGCATTGAAAAGAGAATTATCACTAGATTATTGTACAAATGGGTTTGAATTAAATGGCATATCATGACTGAATGTCGACTTATTTGAACTTTGGTATAGGAAAGGGTTAGTGAATGGCTAAGAAATGTCGTTTAAGGATTCATTGTCTGGTTTGTTTGATTAGACTAGAGATGGCTTTTGCAAGTCGGTCTTTTGATTTATTTTATCTTTGTGGTCGAAAAGTCGGTCTTTTGATCGACACAATTGTTTAATGTTTTTCCAATCCAAACGTTAAATTTTGATATTCGAAATGTATTGCAAAAAGCTTGTGAACCAATGACGAGTCTACGTACGTCGTGTATCTACTTAGTTAACAGCAGACAATTGAATGAAGACATTTGAAGATTTGTTTTGCTTTTGCTTTTAAAGGCAGTACAAATAAATCTCCCCCATTAATTTGTTATGAATAATGAAGGAGAGAGGAGAAAAACTTAGATGCAACGGGGATATCACTATTTTCTATCCCCGATCAATAATACTCTGTCATGTGAGAGTGTTATCACGCGTATCATAACGTTATTGGCCGGAAATAGCAAAATAGTGATATTCCCGTTTCATGGAAGTCTTTCTCAAGAGAGAGAGAGAGAGAGTGATTTTCTTTTGAAAAAGCTGTGTGTTTTCTCATCTGCCACATATTCATTCCCAATCATTCTCTGTCAAATGAGACTTCTGATCATGCTCCTTGCAACGAGAAGGACTTGCATTGCATGTCACAGGAATAATCCTATTTTGCTGTTCTCATTTACGTCATGTGGAATCCTTACCACCCGTGACTGAACATAACTAGTGGAATCCTTACCACCCGTGGTATACAAGTTTATCTCCGTTGACTCACTGTGAAGATTTGACTTGGCCTACGCAAATTCTGTTACAACTTTGGTTTCTGTCGATATGGCATTTAGTAGCTACTCTTTGCGTGCACACAAAAAAGTGTTACAAACAAAGAATCAAACCATTTTCAAGAACCTGACGAGTATAACTCAATTATCCCCAGACCTAATAATTTTGCGTGAGAGTGTAGTAGACGTAGGTGATGAGTGTGAAAATAAGTGAATCAGGGTGACTGCTAACGACCCCTTCTATAAAATGCATTTATCCTTATAAACGCTTTTATTAATAGAACATCGAATTTTTTGACCGTGCTTCCTGTAAAAGCACCTTGATGCTTTTCCAGAAAGTCCTATTATCCATAAGCACTTTTACTTTTTTTTTTATTTTTTGGCGAAACGCAGTCATACATGCTTTTCATTCTTACTAGAAGGGCTAACTCTCCCACATCCGCGTGGGCAAATCCTGACCGTTCATGCATGCAGAGCTCCCAATACCTCATCCTCAACAGTTAGAATTCAACCACATGAGCGTAGGGAACTAACAGTAGCATCATTCAATCACAGAATTAGTCAATCATTAATCCATTAGTCAACTAACTTTGATCAGGTAATTGAATAAGATTAAAAACATGGTTTTTTTTTTTTTGGAAAGTTTAGAACCAAGTTTACCTTTTTAAGTTGAATACAAGGATACAAGTACCAACAGTGGTTGACCAAGAACATACGCCACCCGTACGACCGTCTTCCATGTCCAATTGGAGCCACCCGAATGACTTTGCCATAGTGCTCGGACAAGTCCATCTTGAAGTGAGAAATTATCTCCTCTTCTCCCTTGTCTGCTTCATAGACAAACCAGAAAGGTAAACCTAATAAGATACAGAAATACATGTACATATCTATAATAACCGATCCTGCAATTTTTTTTTCAAGCATCAACTTTAGAAGAGAATATAATGTTATATACAATATATGCACAGTAACACTTTTAGTACAGTACATTCACAAACCACATTTATCACATGTTACAGCAAGCAGTCGCTTTAAGAACTACTAGATTTTCCCCATGACCTAAAAAACCCAATCACGCGGTCATGAAGATCTTCTTTGGCTTTTATGCTCACAATGAAGTCTATATGACCATAATTCTCGAGATAAACCAGCTCAGGAGTGGACTGCAATTCCTTGAGAGTGTGATGGAAATCTTCCATATCAGCTAAATCATCATTGCCCCCATAAGCCATCAACAGTGGCAGTGACTTGGGTATGAGGCCAAGATCAAATGAAGGGGGTTTCAACTGACCATACAGCTTCAAATTTTTTAAGACGCCATAGTCGTACTTCGAAAAAGTACCCTTACGAATCACTGCTCAACACAAAATGCAATAATCAGTTTACGAAGAGAATAAGAACAAGAAGAGAGGTAGGTAAATGATATTCTTGCAAATACGAAGGGTACAGAGCATACTTTGGAAGAGATGACGCAAGTTCTTTGTGGATGTTGGGTGAGGTTCATAATCAAGATAGAAGTCCACCCGTGAGTTATTAAAGCAACAATTCTTCCCTGAAATGTTATCAAAACGCCTTTAGCAACCATTCTTCCCTAAAAGTTATCAGAGCACCTTTTCTTAGTAGACTCTTTACAATAAATACAAAACGAGATGAAAAGTTTTATGTTGTAACATTGAAGCACCTTTGGAATTTCAATCTTAATAATGCACCCGCAACAGTGCTCTCTCAAAAATCAATCATGGCTACTGGCAATTTAAATCATACTTGTGAATAACATGACCTTCCTCCTAGAGCCAGTATGTAGAACTACAAACTTAAGTCCCATTGAAGATAACAAGAAGCTGACAGTTTAACGCCCCCACTGTTTGCAGAGGTCTCGAATTTGAATCAATCATTGACAGAAAAAAAAAAAAAATGGAAACCCATAAATTTATAGTTCTAGTTAGCTACTTTATGAGGAAACTGGCTGGTTTGTTTTCTCTAAGAAATTTATGCAGGAGAGTCACATAAACAATATCAGAAAGAATAACAAAAAACAAGTTTCCCACCAAAACATTTTTAAATGGGCATGTGCACAATGCATAAAACAGATGCCCGAGCATGATGCGCCTACACACATGCACAGGGAGGGAGGGAGGGAGGGAGGGAGGGAGAGGAAGGGGG